CTGGCTGAAAAGAAGATCTTTCCATTTGAATATATGGATTCTTTCATTGATCCACATACAAAAATGTGTCCCTGTCTTAAGTATTTGGAGCAGCGTGCAGACACCATGAAGCGCCTAGGGGACTAACTCCAGACATCATCCACTCAATCAAGATTTGACCTGGTATATTTCTCTTGTAGGAAACCCACCCAACAAATGAAGATCATCCAAGTTGCGGTGCACTTCAATATCAGTGCGGTATATTTTATCTTTTGTATCTCAAGTCTTTGGCTGTCACAACATTCCCTTCGGTATTTTCAATGAGAAATTGAAAATTTCATCATCAAAGCAGATCTTTCACAGAGTACACCACGCAGCTTGACATCAAAAATACTTTTTTGTTCCCCGTTTTTGTTCCCCTTGATTACAGAGAAGAAAAGACTCAAAGACTCCGAACAGACTGAAACCATGTTTGGAAAAAAAGAAAATGAATCGTAAAGACTAACGCGCAACAAATCTGACCTTTGACTGAAACTGCATACAACTGCAATCCCAAGTCAATAAACATAAAAATATTAATACATGTGCTAAATCACACCAAGCATTACATAAGTACTTGTAGCTGTCCCAAAGGGCAATCTTAGTTATGCTGCACCCCTCTGCAACTCTGTTTTCCGGAGTGACTGATTTTAACTTCGCCAATCAGAATAAGCCCTCACATGAGCCTGATTATCAGCTCACTAAGTTAACCCAGGGTTTCCCATGCAGGAGACAAACTGGCTAACCAATTACAAGCATGGATAAGTGTACTGGTAGCAGATCAGCTGATTGTTAAACACACAATGCAGACAGAAAGCAACACATCTGCTACAGAAAAAGCAGCAGTGTGTGTGTGTGTCTGAGAGATAGAGAGAGAGAGAGGGAAAGCACTATACAACAGTTTAATACTAAAAGTCCTATATAAACACGTGAGCGCTTTAAGTGCTTTGCAGTCAATAAGACTGGACAAGATCTATTATAGTAATAAAGTCTACTGTATTTGAAGCCTGGGAAGAGAGCTGGCAAAAATACTGTTTGTATAATTTAACAGATTTATCAGTATCACAGCTCTATCATTAGGCCACAGGAGAATCTGATGGAATATAATTGAGTATTTAATTCAATTAATTTTTAAAAGACAGGTTTTACCTTTTATTCTTTCAGCTGCAGTATCAGTGGTGTTTAAGAGTTTGAGACCAACTAAAGAATAAAAATAAAAAAACAGATTTCTAATGTAGGAAATTTGATACAAAAAACACAAATACAAAGGCGCTCTGAATAAATGTGAGACTGAATAAATGTGAAAGTCTAGAATTGGAAGTTACTGGGGGAAAATTCCTAGATATGAGTTTTGTTTTTTTTTAAAAAAACTTTATCCCATCCTACTATGTGGGTACAGTGGGCAAAGGCTCGCCCAACGATGGTGTCAGTATTTTCCAGAGAATTGAAGAGTCAGGGGGCAAACTCAGGGTTAATTAAGAAGTTATCTGGATAAGACAAAATCCTGCTTTGTACTACAAGCCTCTGGTATCTTCTGAGGCTCAATATCTCACTAGCACAACACAGTAGGATAACACTAAATGCCCACTGTATCTTTTTTTTTCTTCTGAGTAAACAAAAAAAGAGTGTTTTGGTTGGGAAGCCGGCTTCCAGGGTGCTGTACTGTAATTCAGTCCAGGCAGAAATGCTACCATGGCCAAAGACTATTCACAAGTTACTTGGCCCATTTTATAGTTCACTGGGTCTTTTGCAGGTTTTGTGTATCAATTGCAAACAACCTCATGCTGATTTCTTAGCAGGACTGCTGATCTTGTTGATTGCACAAGTTAAATCCATGATGACAGTTATAGCAAGGTAGCAGACACGTTTGTTCTTGTTCACTTGTGTGCATGGGCAGATAACTAATGAGTTGCAACTGCGAGCAAATTAAATGAGGTACCCTGCTATGTGCACTATTAGATGTTAAGTTTTCTGTAGCTAGTACACAGTCTTGAGTGAAAAGAGTTGATTGATTTTTCAATCACATCTGTTCAGAGAGAGTGTGAAGCAGAGAAGGCTGAGCCAAAGTAGCACAACAAACCAACGTCTCCACAATGTTACACTGGCAACTTTTTTTTTCCCTTTTTTTTATGATTGGTTGTCACACAATCTTAGAAAGCAAATCACAGCATCTCCAAGGGCAATGGCTTACTCAAAACCCCCCAGCTGGTGCTTAGCAGAACTGCTGAACAGTTACAAATGGACATCTTTCTTTTTTGCCCTGCCGCTGTCGGTCTCATGTGGTCACTCACACTTATTTCAGCCTGTTTGGACTTCACCTAATGGCCCAGAAAGGGCAAAGCTCTCATGTCATTCATTTCTAGATGAAACTAGCTCAAACACATTTGCTGGCGGCTGAAAATTCCCTCACTTTGCACAGAGGTCATTCTGTCTGAACCTGACACTAAAAGTAATACAAAGTATTGAGAAACATGATGATGTTGCACTACTACTTTTGGCACCATAACACATGAATTAAGCTATTTATTACACTTCACCACATTATATACAATTACCACTGTCAGACAAGTAAAGACTAGTTAATGAACGAGTAAAAGGTCTTTCTAGCAATACTGGACATAATATGTGATTTTTCTATCAATGTAATGAATGACATGCTTTTTCAGTTATTAGAGTTTCCAGGACTAACTGATCACTGCCATAAAGTGGCACACATCTGTAATACAATCATGATATTTTCTATGAAACTTTGTCTCAAAGTTCTCTCTAATACTAAGTTTATACCTCACAAGGAAATTAGCTCTTCTTCAACTTGCAGGATGAGAAAAAAGAATTGAAATCATCAAATGCAACTGGAATCACTTATTGGCAATCACTTCAGTTTGTAATTTGCTGTGCTTTAGCTGACAGGATCCTCAAGAGCATAGCAGAACTCAGGGAAATCAATGCTGCTAATTTAAAGACGGCTAATTGGTAAAGCTTTTGAGTTGCTTTTAATTAAATAACGGCTGCCCTAAATGAATGGAATTTATGGATGAATACACATTGATTTTACTACATAATCATCTACTCGCTGTTTGCCAAAATAACATGAGAGGGGTTTTTAAAAGAGCCTATATATATGCAACAGCTGTGTGCTGTTTGGAGTAAACTTGTTTCAGTGGGATTCCTGTTAGAGAATAGTTACCTCATTGAAAGTGATCTTGTTGTTTTTTATTGTCTGAGGTGAGCTCTTCCATGTTTTCCCAAAAAAGTGCTGATGATTTCTGTCAAACAGCGTTGCCCGTAGTTGGTAAGTCACACTTTGTTCTCCCACTGCCTTCTCCTATGAGCAAAAAGGAAGCATATGCATCTTAGAAAAGTCACTGTTAACAAGTGAAGAGTTAAACTTAAATCCTCCTTTATGACTAATATCCAACTTCATGAAAAACACCCCAGAATGAGGTTCCCAATATCTGAATGCTCAGTTTTGCATCCCAGTAACTGATAATGCCAACAAGTAGTGGATGTCAGATTCACTTTGGTACTGTTTGATGCTCTATATATAGACCGAATTTACTAATAATCCCATGACATTGATTGTGTGTTTGATTAAAAAAAATGTATGGTTGCCTTCAAATATAACATTTTTTAAAGGTTCGCGAGATTTCTTCAGGCGCAGTGTCACAGAGATGGATACTGAATAGGCCTTATCGTGACTTTTATTTTGACAGTCAATACAAAGTCAAGCTCACAGATTAAAATACATTGAATTTAGGTTTGCTAAACCTCTAGTGAATTGCTATAGCAGAGTTGTTTCTATGTTTTTAATTAGCACTGTAAGCTAACTGTAAACAGTCACCTGGGGTGGGAGGTGAGTTGCAGTGACACGGTTGAGGGTGAGCTGGAAGCCGTGGGACTGGGTGAAGCGGCTTTCCACAGCCAGCCTTACGGTCTGGCTGAGCGGGGGAACCACCCGGTTCCTCTCAAACACTTGCTTCCAGTCGTCCGCCATGCTGGGTATGTCTTCTATTTTTACCATGCCCTTTAGTTAAAATAAACATTAGCCTGACATTGAACAAAAAAACTCAGAAATGTTGAACGCAACCGATGTTTTACTCTGAATTTAGTCTTCTCCATCCGTTCAGATGTTTAAGCCGTGGCCGCCATATTGAAATCAGATTCTACCATTTAGAACAAAGGGGGGATATGTAATAAATTATTTCATCAGGAGCTCTCACGAGGGAGAAACATTATTTGAAAATATACTTAATATACGAATTGTATTTTTTAACGCAAGTCTACATTTTATTCCCGAAATTTAAAATATAGAGAAAAATTCGCATTGGCCGCCTCTAATCGTTCATACCTTTCAGTTGGTATTTCCTGTCGTGCTGCGTCAGTTGCTATGGTAATACTCATCTTTCCATTTAGGTCTCGTATGAACGTCAGCATCTCCAATTTAAAGTTAGTTTACTGCCACACTCGCAATATAAATGTTATTTTCTTTTTAAATATACAAATGTAATAATTATCTTTAATATATTAGTAGAGTATAATTTGTAGGAGGAGCTGTGGCTGTAGTCTTAAGCTGAACACATGAGCAGCTAATTCAGGGGCGTGCTTAGACTCAGTTCCCCCAGAAGGACACATGCTGCCCATTCTCACAAAACACTGCTGTCTAAAACCAATAGACAGAAAAACAAATTATGCACTGAAAAGAAAAGAGAATGTCAGAATAATCTATGTATTATGATCTGGCAAAAATAGCTCTCCACTTTCAGAGATATATAGCAGAGAAAATCCTAACCAAGTACTGGCCCAGTGTTTGAAAGAGGAAGACAAAAACAGAACTGTGAGAATCCAAAGAAGATTTCAAAAGGGATTAAGACAGATGTGTGACTTGTTATCAAGTGTTGCATAACCTATATAAACTGTAACGCTAATAAAGCCATTTGAATTGCATTATTATTGTAATCATTAATATTCACAACGTGTACTTGATATCCAGTGTGTCTACTACACGCGGAATGTTTTCCCCATGAAGATACTACTGTAATGTAAATAAATATAAGTTACTTTCACCACCAATCACGCCACAATAGCAAAGAAAGTAAGGAAAAGCACCAGTAGGGGGCAATCACACACTTCCGCTGCTGCTCCGAGCCTCAAGAGGAGGAAGAAGAAGGAAGCGGTAGGTACAAACCGAAAACAAAACAGCGAAATGTTCGGGGAAATTAAACCTGTGAAAATTAGGAGTTACAGTGAAAACAGGAAATACGGAATTGCCGCAAAAGATGTGAAGGAACTACTGAAGAAGGCCTGCAATTTGCTACTGGTGAGTCTTGTAGGAATTAGTTAGTTTTTAACACCTTATACGGCTGTTCCGCTTTTTTTTATCTGAGAGGATGTGACATAAACGTCATCGCTGCTAGTAAACAAAAGAAATTAGGCTTTTATTTTTCCTAATTAGTAGTAACTCGATACGTGATTGGTTTGGTCCAAGATCACCTCCACTGTGAAGAAGATACGACATAAAATAATTTTCGCATCATTTTTAGAGAACTCGGTAAACAGGATGTAAGTGAAAAAGCAACAGTTATGTCACGTTCAGGTCAAAGTGACATGTAGCCTCTACGTTTATATTTCAAGATGCTTTTTTTTTATTATTCCATTTAGATTAAATTCTGTTTATGATGGGCTGGGAGCAGAATTCGTTCATTATTAAAGTATGGCCTCGGGCACATTTTGTATAAACTCGCTGAAACAAAGAGAAAATGATCTGTTGGTGGAAATCTGTACTGCAGGGATTTGGTTTAATTGGAGTTTACATCGGATAAATAAATCCATTTAATCTGAGCAGACTCTCACAGATGGCTCTCTTATAAAATATGTCAAGTTTACAGATTAGTTATCTGGTCTAAAAAGCTTCTACTTCTAGTCCCTACAACACATTTGTCATTGGTGTTTTTACCTGTTATGTTCTCCACGAGTCCAGGTGCCACTCTCTGGTGCACGTGTTTGCTTGTATGAGGACGGGACAATAGTGACGGAGGAATTCTTCCCAACTTTGGCAGATAACACCGAATTGGTTCTTATATCTAAAGGGCAGACCTGGAGTGGAGGTAGGAGGATCAACACCAGACAAGGGTTTCTACTGTAAACTTGTGTTTTCATTCTCCCAGTCAGCTAAACTGCTGGATGATTGTGATGTTGCCTAATCTTTATGCATCTGATTTTTAGTTGTGTGTGACATCAGTCAGCTACTCAACACAGACCGGCATGCCGACAGCCTCATTGAAGCAGCGAAGGGGCTCCTCTCTGATGAGAAATCTTCAAAGAGGCGTAAAATCTTGACAGACCTGCTACAGAACCTGGAGGATAGGTCGGAGCTGGAGAGCAGAGAGGAGGACGAAGACTGGTTCCAAGGTAGCAGCCTTCATCCTCTTGGAGAAGCACTCTTTGTTTTGTTTTAGAGTTCCTCAGACTTTTCCTGTCGTGGCTTCTTTTGAGGTCAAACTCCCAGCCTGTCTGCACAAGGCTCAAAGAGTACAGTTAGGCCTGTAGGAATTGTGACAGTGACAGTGTTTTGTGAATTTGTCTCTATGTTCCACCACAGTGGATTTTAAAGCGAACAATCAAGATGTGATTGGAGTGCAGACTTTCAGCTTTAATTCAAGGGATTTAACAAGCTTGCTGAGCCTTGACCTATGAGGTTCATGAAGGGTGGAGGCTGCCCCGCCCTACTGCTTTCTGCTGGACTTTGCTACTTCTTCACATGAACTGTGAATAATAATATAAATTATAATAATTTATAAATAAATAGATTTAAATAAAAAAAAACTAACTTTTGAGCCTCTGAAAATGGTGCTTATGTATAAAAAGGACTCGAATTCCCAAACAGTTAATGCAACACTTTGATCAAACCCCTTGAAATAAAGCTGAAAATTTGCACTTTAATCACATTTTGATTGATTTTAAAATCCATTATGGTGCTGTGCACAGGCAGTATTACAAATATTGTGTCAATGTAAAGAAATCCCTTTAAAGAAAAGCACTATAAGACATGTGCTACTGTTACTAGAGAACTGGGAAACCATGAATAGATTAAGTCAGTCTTGTGTCTTTTTCCAGTATAAAAGCATTGTGAAGACTCAACACCATTATATTTGGACAATGTTTGAGCAGTGTGACTACGTCTGTATAATTGATCACTTTTTCACAGATGTTTCTCTTGATGCGAGTCTAAATGAATCTGTTGAGCATCTTGTTATTTGTGTTTCTCTTCAGGTGTTGATTCTCGATTTAAAACAAAGTCTGCCTACATGAAGTACAACTGTGAAAGCAGGATACGCGGCTACTTGAAAGAGGTAAACTTGGGAGCCAGGTAACACTCTGTACCTGAGGTCTTTACAGGATTGCTCCACAGTCAGCTGTTCTGACAGTTCTGTTTTTTGTTGTTTTTGTCAGCTGGATGATGCCACCAAATCCATACAGAAAGCAAAAGTGAGGGCAGAGTTTTTGAAAACCTCCCACAGCCTCGCAGAAATGCTGAAAATAGCCAAGTATAATGGCTGCTACTTTGACAGGACTGAAAAGCAACCAGATCGCCTTTGTACTCAGGAGGGATGGTTCACCTGCCAGGTACTACAAGAATACAAGCTGTGAGGTATTAAGAGGTCTAACAGAGTTGAATGGGCATGAGAAACAAATGCAGGCAACATGAGTTTTACACTGTCACAGACAGGCTTTTGAGCTCTGAGGGAAAGACTCTTGAATCTGTACAGAGTAGCTGGGATCTGCTCCAAATGACTTGTCCGAGGTTAGTTGTATGTGAACAGAAGAGTCAGAGACAAAAGTGCACTGTGGTGTGAGAATCAGAGCAAAGATAAAAAGTAGTGTTTAACTCGGCTTAACAGTCATTACATTTAAAATGTCTCAAAAATATTAAAAGTCCAGATGTGCTTCAGACTAAGTTCCTCTTCCTCTAAATTGCGTCCTCAGGGATCATTTGATGAGAAAGTGTGCAAATCTCTTCACTCTATCAACCCCTATGGAAGCCGCGAGGGCAGGATTGTCTTCAGCACTTGGAATTTGGACCACAGGTTCACGCCACCTTTAGTTTATTTACAAGATTTTTTTGAGGGTTTTTTTGCTTTACATACTTTCATGCAATTCTTCAATTTGTTTCCAGGATTGAAAAGAAGAGGACAGTTATTCCCGCTCTGCTGGAAGCTCTGCAGAATCACAGGAGCACTGACATCAACCTGAACTACTTCTACCAACTCCTGTTCACGAGGGAAAACCTGAAGCTGGTCCACATCGTCTGCCACAAAAAAGGAGCTCACAACCTGCAGTGTGACACCAAAAAGATCTATAATAATGCCACCAAGGATCTAAAAGCAAAACAGAAGCCCAAAGTAAAGAAACGGCGCATGACTTGAAGTCCTGTGACAAATGAGTGGACTGTGATTTGTTTGATAAACTTGGTAAATAATTTACTCTGAAAAGAACCCATCACATCAGTTGGAAAGGTAAATTTGCCTTTGCAATCTCCCCGACGTAGTCGTGACATCAGCTTCTGAGCTCCAAACCCACCATGGTGAACTTTAATTTCATATTGGAAGTGATCGACCACACTTAAGAAACCATGAAATTCATTTATTTGTTCACTGTATTGGCACTGTGATGTAAAGTACACAAATTAAGTACAAAGATGATAACGAATCATGCATTTACTGAGAATGCTGCATAGAATGTGAAAAGCAAATTGACATAAATAAGGCAGTAAATATATAAAATATTTGGACGGTTTAGAACAGTCATGTAAAAAATACAGGCGACAACATCTAGTGCAATTACTGTTAACCTCTTGGTTAGATTACATTTTCACTCAGGTTTAAATTATCCAGTCTTTCAGACTGCAGTCTTGTATGAGGAACCTTTTTGTTTTTTTTAAACAACACTCTCTTACAAATTTTAGAAGAACCCTCTCAGGGAAAATTAATTCATTACATTGATTATGTATTGATACAGATGTGTTATATATTTCAAAGCTGCCAGAAACGTGAGCACACATGAGTTGAGCATGAAGAGACACTTGGTGAATAATGACTTTTATGCAGAAAACTGTTGAAGATGTTCAGCTTAAGCAATGAATTTGTGCTATTAAAGCTCTCAGTACAGATGTTCATGCTCCATCCCTCCTCATTACAGATGTGTAATCTAAACTTAGACTGAAATTGTCACTCTGTTGCTCTTGTCAGCATGTAACACTGACAATTAATCAGTTTTCATTTGTATGGGAAAACAAAAACTTAAATCCAGCATTTTCTTTAGTATCTCAGAGGCTAATCTGAAGCTGCGCTCAGGATTTCAATTTTCTACATAAAGTGCTATAAACACTGGTGATGGTTACACCAGATATAGCTACACCAGGTGTTATGTGAGCGTACATTCAGCAATAATTTCAAAAACATTACTGCATTTACTCACATTGGCCATTTTCATTTTATTATTGCAGTTATGACTTTTTAAAAATCTAATTATTGATTGAATGCAATGTTTGAGCAGGTAGTTTTCTAAGTGCTGAGAGGTTTAATGTCTTTTCATGAGCAGAACTTTCTCAGTTATAAGAGCGGCAACTCTTCACTAAGTGCCCACCCCGTTGTCTCGCTGCACACCGTTGAAATCCACCTCGTCTTCATCGCTGTCCTCTCTAGCGTAGTAATGTCGCCTCCTGTTCTTCCTTTGGGCGCGGCTAGAAGACGAGGATGATCTTTCAGGAAAATCCTGTGGGATGAATCCGTATTTAGAATTCATTTAATGCAACATTATTTTCACCAATTGTGCTGAAGATATAACTGCAGGAATGATGGGCCTAGAGATGTGGGGGGATAAAATCTATGTGTATGGATAAAATTAAAGTTATCAGTGAGTAACAAATCTAACTAGGGGTTGTTACTGCTCTCATATTACTCCAGCCCTGCTTATAAGAAAGTGAAATGTCAGTTTATTTAATGTTAACTGTGAGTGAAACCAGAAAAAGAAAAGGAAAAAAAATCAGCAATCATATTTATTTGAGAAAGAATCCAAACCTCAAGGCGAACTTATAATGTATACATTAGGGACTCCTGGCACGGTGAGGCTTTTATGTAACTCATGGTCTTCTACTCTGTACATTATTGCCCATATTTTGTGTTTTATTAGCAGGAAGACCCTTTTGGTACATCCAATAATGCACCAATTTTAAGGTCCAAATGTATAACAAGTCTAACATATCTTTCAACTCCCATGTCTATAGCAAAACACCCTAGAAGTGCAGCTTTAAATGAATAGATATGGATGATGATTCTTCTAAACTGATCATCAGTAAGCAGACGTTTTCTTTACCAAACAAAAAAAGACAAACAACCCTGTTTCCCCCAGGAATTAAAACCAACGTGCCTCACCTGTACAGCATCCAGGTTTCCAAAGAACTGCTCCACAGGAAGGATCTGATTACTGTCATCATCTGGGAACATAATTCTGCCCGTTTCTTCATAATCCATATGCTCAGGCTCATATTTGTCCCAGATGCTATTCATTACGCAGCTGTCTGAATCCTGTCCCATCATCAGCGCATTCTCTTTACCTTCCTGTCCTTCATGCTCTGGTGATGCTGAGCACCTCCTCCTGCCAGAAGACTGGTGGCATTCACAGCTGATGCAGGAGTCTCTCTCCAGAGGACCAGCTGCTTTAGTGTTCCCAACTGCTGAGCTGCTCTCAGATGACGAGTTTGCCTTTGGACTTTTCACACATTTCCTCCTTGCAGCAGATGTCTATGATACAAAAGTTAAGGAACAAAGTTAGGATGATGTTGGGGTAACCACAGCGGGACTCCACTGCAGTAATCAGATCCAGTTAATTTGGAGCCACTCACAGCTGTCCGGTGTAACGGTTACAGCTGTAGGGGTGTAGATAACTATAACTCCTGCCTTTCTTTTTGACTCATCACACATCTGCAGCATTATGTACACAGACAAAACAAACCTTTCTGGAGTTTCTGGTCTCAGAGCTGCTCTTCCTCTTTCTTGGCTTCAAATGATCAACTTCACCAGGCATCTGCAAAGCATCATGATGTTTGTTTATATAAAGTACTTTATTAATGCAATGACATTGTGGGGGAAAAAAACAAACTATGGTTTTAGTCAGCTGAGAGGAAGCCGTCATAATGCCAGCGTTTGCTCCTGCTAAGCAGAAAATTAGCAAATGTTTTCACGCCACTCAGTAAAAGAAGCTAAATTTATCGGGCAGCTGTTTAACGGGGACAGTTTTAGAATTTTCGCTTGCATACAGATTTGTCATTTTCCATTTTAAACACTGTCTTAACAAAAAAAAAAATTAAATAGTGGACAACGTCAATGGATAGCTATAAAGCTGGCTCTGCAGTCTCGCTGAGCTGCTTAAACCCTCCAACAGCACCCCTCTATCCTCCGCCGGCTAAACTCCTGCTAATTTACTGGCAAATTAAAGTCACGTTACTCGTCAACTATGACCCAGTTCTTCCAGTACATCCCTAATCCCTCCAGCGTTGCTTTTTCACATGTAGACGTGCCCGAGCTACGCCGAATGTAAGTCCATAAAAGGCAGCTGATAGTTGAACTGCTAAGACCACAACACCTGCTCAGCACAGCAGCTAGCTTTCGTCTAGAAAAATCAAAGCAATATCGTCGGAAAATAACCCACCCACCCCCAGTCAAAAATGCCCCGGGTATCATAATGTGAACCATGCTAGTTATGTTGCTAGAACAATGACTCCAGCCGTCTGTATCGGTACAACAACACCAACACGAAGGTCACGACGAAGCTAGGTGTCACTAAACACAACAAAAACGCCTAATTTCGACATCTCGGCAACAAGCTAATGCGGCCAGCTACGAGCTAACAGTGGGAGAGAAAAAAATAACTAATTTGACCTGCCTGCCGGTTTTCTCATTTAATTAAACACGTACTTACCTTATGTATCATTTGCCGGCGTGGATATTTAGGTTTTCAGCTACGATATTGAAAGTTTACACCACCTTGGGGTTTTCTGGCTTTCCAATCGGCTGGCTTCAACTAGCGACTAAACAACGGCGATAATTTTACGACGTAAGCGCTCCCCGCCGCCTGCCTGCCCGGTGTATTTCCTGCTGGTGAGGTTCACTCAGAGGTCTGCAGTTTCAATACCAGGACGTCCTCTGCGCCACACTGCACCGCCATCGACGCCACCCTTTACTAAAGAGCATTAGAGAAAATAGAGAAAAAAAGAAGTATATCTTAAAATGCACGTGTTATTTTATATTTATATATATAATATTCGATTTCTATTACAAAATATATATGTAATTAAAAGTAGTTTAGTTCGAGGGGTTTGTAAATGCTTTTTACTAGATCTATTTTTCTATGTATGTTATTTTCTTTTAGGTTTTTTTCCCCACTGTTTTAATATTTTATTTTTTGACAAACTTGGCTTTTCTCCACTTTTACGCCATCTCAGTGATTCTGCGGGAGTTGTTTCCACCCATCTCGTGACTTATGCTAATGAAAGGGGTTCTCGTGACACGCTGATTCACAGTAAGCTCGTATTTCTCCGTGTTATTTTGTGAGATTGGACAATCATACGTAAAATGCCAGTTCACGCCATGTTTCAAAGTTTGGCTTTTGTTTAGCAGTGACGTATGAAGGAGGAGATTCCGGAAGTCGAATGCAGTTCCAGTCGATGTCCACAAGATGGCGCAATAGGGTTTTTAAAGAAGCGTCTAATTCTTTTAGTCAGCCAACAGATCACACTGGCTTCGGTTTTAACAGCTATGTAATAATTTAGAACATACAGTTGACTCTGTCCGGTAACAAAACAATAAATAAACATAATTTTGAAATCATTTCATGTTCTGTCATTCATCGAACAGTTCCAGTCAGGAGGCTATTGATTGCCTCCCTCTCCTCCAGAGCAACCGACAACAACACGCGGCAACAGATGGTGGGGCCCCACGGATCTCGGCGTCACGGACTCAGTGTGGGATTGTTGTACGTTAGGAGACAGAAAACACCGAGACAGCTCGAGGAGGGCTGTAGTCCAGTATTTCTCACCTAGCACTGGAATTAAAATTGGACTGTCAAACTTCTTTAGAAAATCATCATCGCTGTTCCTTTATAAACGCTGTGGTGTTTGTTTTATTCCTCACACGTAGATGGTTGTTGAATTATTTCTGAATCATTTCGTTGTATTTTAGTTTAGTTGTAGTCACTTGTAATCATGAAAATTAACGCGGATTAAAGGAGCTACTGATATTTAATATTAAGAATAAGATAAGGTTGTGGTGGCTAGTGGATCGCAAAACCTGGTGAACACGTGTGTGTGTGTGTGTGTGTGTGTGTGTGTGTGTGTGTTAGACAGAGAGAGAGAGAGAGAGAGAGAAATGGGATATCTGCCGGTCCCAGATCAGTTTAGTTCATTAAGGGGAGGAGATATTTGGGGGGGGGGGAGATAGTGGTATCCTCCATCAGGTCTCCAGATAGTCTGTGTGGAGCCAAACCCTGAGAAGAAGCTTCGGGACGAATTAGACAGCAAAGAGGGACGAATGTGTGACATTACTCTGCGCTGTCATGGTCAAGAAGTGGCCAAGGAGACACTTGACTGAGCGCTCTTACCCCGTGTTTTCGTGAGGTGGGACTGCGGTCTCCACTCGGGCGCACAGTTGTGAAACATTATGAAGGCATCTAAGGGTCCCAGCGTGTCACGGTGACAGCAATGGATCACTTTTTTCGTAGAAAGCGGATCCCCGCTTTTCTGAAACCCCTGTTGAGTCTGTCTCTGATCTTTGCGTCTTTTCTCATGATCCAAAAGCTGAAACTGTCGGAGAAAGACGCAGTGGGGGTTAAACATGTGAGGGATCCGGCCTGGTGCGGCTCTGAGTGTTTTTCATTCAAGAAGACAGTTGTGACCAGTTCGGGGACCTCAGATTCTCCCGTGCCCGTCAAGGATTTGGAGATACAGCGTGTCCCGAATGTAACTCGGTCTTCGTGGGACGCGCAGGTTCTCAACTGTAGCGCGGACGCATCGGTGAGGACCCAGGACTGGTTCCGGCGCTTGGACCAGAGATTTCACCAGTTTGTGCTTCACAGACACTGCAGGTATTTCCCCGTGCTCATCAATCACCCGGAGAAGTGCGCCGATGGAAACGTTCACCTCCTTGTGGTGGTCAAGTCCGTTATCGAGCAGCACGACCGGAGGGAGGCCGTGCGTAAAACCTGGGGGAAGGAGCAAACCGTGAATGGGAAGAAAATTAAAACTTTGTTTTTACTCGGAAGCCCAAACACTGGCAAAGACGCCAAGAACCTACAGAAACTGATCGAGTATGAGGACCAAATCTTTGGGGACATCCTGCAGTGGGACTTCATGGACACTTTCTTCAACCTGACTCTGAAAGAGGTAAATTTTCTCAAGTGGTTCTATATCTACTGCCCCAAAGTGCAGTTTATATTTAAGGGGGACGATGATGTGTTTGTGAACACGCACAACCTCCTGGAGCTCATCGACTTCAAAGTGGAGCAGCGCAAAGCGGCCAACTTGTTTATGGGGGACACCATCTCCAAGGCGATCCCCATCCGAAACCGACAGAGCAAATATTACATCCCCAAGGAGTTGTACGACAAGCCGTATCCACCCTACGTGGGAGGTGGGGGGTTTCTGATGTCCGCCTATTTAGCCCGAAGGCTGTTCGTGGCCTCGGAGGGCGTGGAGTTGTACCCCATTGACGATGTGTTTTTGGGGATGTGCCTGCAGAGGCTCCACTTATCCCCAGAGATGCATCCGGGCTTCAGGACATTCGGCATCACCAGACGCAGGGCGAGCACAATGAACACAGAGCCCTGCTTTTATAAAAACCTAATCGTGGTCCACAAACTGAGCGCGCAGGAGCTGCTCAGGATGTGGAGCGTGGTGCACAGCCAAGACCTGATCTGCGCACTAAAAACTTCGATATGACTGACAGAAAGAATAAAGTAAATAAATTCACTAAATCTGAGCTCACGGAAAGTCTTCTTTGGCCGATCATGCTTGATGATCTTTACGCAATCTGCGGAGTCACGTTAATTTTCCCTTTACCGTTACGCATGGGTCTGACATGGAAGATGAACTGAATTTAATACTGTGTGTCACATTAAAACGGTTGATTTGTTTTCAGCTAACTCGGCAGGTTGGCGCTCTCCTCTCCACTTCTGTATGGGTTGATTTTCCGTTTTGTAAAAACCACTAGAGCACAGCTTTCGCATTGTGAAAGCATCCGTGTTTCTGTGCCATTCCAGACTGTACTGCCTTAATCTGAATTTAAAAACTTATTTAGAGACGTAGATGTAATAAACCCACGGGTGTTCGTGCAGGTGCGAAAAAGACTGACTTGTTACATCTAAGTGTTTCCCTTAAGCTTTCTTTTCCGACTTCAGGATTTCATTGCAACGTTCAAGTGCAACATGCGACTACATGATTTACAGCATAGAACACACAGCTGCATTCATATTTGAATGATTATTTTATTGAATAGAAATTGTAAATTGTAAAAATCTAATTATGGGTATTTTAAAGATAATATATTGGTTCTGTTTTACCTTGTTTTGTAAGATTTACAGAGGCAGCCTTGAAACCAAAGAAACCACGTGTGTGTAACACTGTAAATTCATGTGTGTTAGTGTCAATAAAACCAGAGCTCTCTTGTAAACACTGAATAACGTTGCAACACTTGATTGATATGTGTTTTATATTGCTCAACAATAATCCTGGAAGTTGGACACTGCCCATTTTTTTAATACACAGGGGGCTCCTAAACAGAGCCGTGTATTACATGTAACTTTTATGGTGAAACACTAATGGGGAATTTTGATTACATGGAAGCACATGTGCAATAATCCCTGAATAATGATTTATTTAACAAATACATCTGCAGAAAAAAAGAAGTCAAAATGCTGTTGACTACAAATGCATGAACACAACTTATACATCTACTTTTGCTGCAGCTCTCAGTACAGAAGCATACTAAAGCAAGTTGTTTCCCCACTAATAAAACATACGCTCACATTAATGTTATTACAGTTTCCAGATACATCACAATCACTTTGTCGTCATCATAACACTGTGCAGCACAACAGAAGCACAACTGAAGAGATAATTATAAACCAGGCTAAATGTTATATGTAGGATTTAACTTTCCAGCTTGTGATTCTATCACTTTGAAGCCAGTGATGTGATTCTGAACACTGGAGGGAAAACCATGTGGTGTACATACAGTATGTAGCATATTCATGTCCACTTCTTTCCTCATTCTAGCAGTGCTGTTTCACTCAGAGACCTTTGTCTCATTTTACTTCTACTTCATACTATCAGTAGGCATTGTGGAGGGAAGTAAGTCACTGCAGTGTGCTAGAAATTCAGCAGTAAAACATCATCCTTTGGCAAAGTGCTATTTCTATATAGAATTATTATAAAAGGAAAGCAAATATGTAAACAGTTGGCTAAGTGTGAAGTCAACAGCAAAGCTTCCCTCAAAGCAAAGAACATCTTCCACTTGTAACTAAACTGTGATCTCGTTCCTCCTCCTGTTACTGGGTGTGCAAGAAGGTATGAGTCATCGTCTTCTGAAGGGATGTAGCAATTAGACATATTTTTACTGAAACTGCGACGGTTACCCATAGAAGTTTCTCAACCCATTCATCTGGTGTAGTCCGATTCTACACAAGAAACTGTTGATTTTAGTTGTGCTCTGCAGCATAAACTTGCCAATCCTTACAGTGTTTAGAAGGTGGGTGGAGTTCCATGGGACAGCTAGCTATCTGCAAGGTGCATGGATCAGCGGATGAAATCTTAAAAGGTCCAAACTTGCACTAGCACATTTACACAGATGAAGGCAATAAGCCATGTTAGACAAGCAGTGAAGTTCTACATACTCCAAGAGGTTTGGCCTCTTCAAACTCTACAATTTGAAGGTTAGGATAAAATAAATGTTAACATGCTACACTTGTTTGTTTGTTTTTTAGGTGTGAGAAAATCGTTGAGATAGCACGTTTATAAGCGAGAGCTTGTACTGCAGTTTAAGGATGTATAAATTATAAATTGCAGATAACCACTCAGAAACTAATCATAAAACCTCACTACACTGGTTGCATTATGAGGGGTCAACTTCTAAAACACAAGCCTAAAGTTCTATCACCCTGTACACTGCTGCTT